AACAGGCCTGCACACGGCAGGGAATCGCTTTGCCCATTCTTGTGGGAAATTGTCGCCTGCTCTAAGCGACCGGTACCGCTGAGCTGATTGACCTCGGTATGAAACAGGACTTCGATCGTCGCGGTTTGTTCGATCCGTCGAGCAAGGTAGTCTGACATGCTCTTGCGTAGATTGTCGCCGCGCAACAGTATCTTCACGGATCTGGCTTGCTGCGAAAGGAACATTGCTGCTTGTCCAGCCGAATTCCCACCACCAACTACAATCGCAGTTGCATCACGGCACATTCTGGCCTCTACCGAAGTTGCCGAGTAGTAGACTCCGGATCCCTCAAATCTCTCGCAATCCTCGACCGGTAGCCTCCGGTACGAAGCACCGGTCGATATCAGTACAGTTCTTGTCTTGACCGCCTGTCCAGTGCACAGTTGAACGGCATGATTTCCGTTTCCGGCGGGTTTCATCGAGCGGACCATGACGGGGGCCGTGAACTCGGCCCCAAACTTCATCGCCTGCAGGAACCCAAGGTTGGCCAGTTCAGCACCTTGAATGCCAGAGGGGAAACCCATGTAGTTTTCGATTCTAGAACTTTGCCCTGCCTGGCCCCCTGGTCCTACACCATCGACAATCAGGGTCCGAAGACCTTCCGAGGCACCATAAACGGCAGCCGCAAGACCAGCTGGCCCTGCCCCCACAATGAGAACGTCGTACAGGTCGTCTTTTATCTTTCTTGAAATACCAAGGCATTCGGCGACTTTTGCAAGCGAGGGCTTGCGTTCAACATGTTGACTACAGGCGATCACCGGTATCTCGTCGGCTGCAACAGCCAGCTCGTCGAGTACGAGCTGTCCTTCATCTTCTGCAACGTCGTGAAACGTGTGAGGGACCTTGTTCTTGTAGAAGAACTCCCGAATTTGGAGCGTTTCTTTGTTGTCCGCTCTACCGATCACGCGAACTCCCAAGAAGTCAGATTCTTCTAGCAGCTTTCGTCGCACTTGAAACGCTTCGAGAAGCTTATCGCTTAGCTCAGGCACCTCGGCCAACATGCGGCGTACTTCGGGTGAGGCGATTTGAATAACTTCGCAATCGCCTTTCGCGCGAGCTGTAACGACTGCGGGGCGTCCGGTGAGCATAGATACGTCACCTGTGAACTCGCTCGGGCCGTGCGTTACGACTTCTTGAGTGGTCCCCGTTGAGGAGTCTGTGATCAGCACCTCGCCCGACAAGACTGCGTAGAACGGGAAATCATAATCCCCGTGCTCGAACAACACTTCACCATCGGAGAAAGTCTGACGCGTCCCGAGTTGCTCTAGACAATCCAGTTCTTCGTCAGTGAGTTTAGGAAAGGCAACCGCACTGTTTTTGGCCCACATTGGTCAAATCCTAGCAATGGAAGAAAGCAAGTACCCCAGAAGTTCACTAAGGAAGATATGGCCAGTAGGTCAGCTTGCCCAAATGATGTGCGACGAACCGTACATCGCCGTCTTGCGAGATGACAACGGCTATGGCCTCGCGGAGACCGTTCACCAGTCGATAGGCAGACCGATGCCGTGTGCCTGCTGAATCACCCGGTTCGACGATGGATCGATTCGCCTCAAGGTCGAGCGCTCGATGGATCTGGAGGACCGGTTTCTCACCCAGGATCTCTCCTCCAAAGCCCAACAATCGGAAGCTTCGATCGAGCACGAGTGCTCCGTCGATATTCATCATATCTGCCAGCAAGTGCCCAAATTCGATCAGCGCATCGTCAATATGAGTCAGTTCGTCATCCCGCAGTCGCTGATAATCGCCCCAGGTAACTAAGTCCATCCCGCGCGAGCGACCAACTTCGAGGGCACGATTCAAGAGTCGAAGTATAAGTCTTCGATACAGGAGGTTGGAGTTGTCCGATTTAAACTGCACACGGAATCGAAGCCACTGCGATGAGATATTGGAATTCTTCGGGTCGTCTGGCAGAAAGACAAGCATTCCGCCATGGCGACGATCTCGAACCAAGCGTAGAACTCGCCGAACAACGCTTTGACCGGCATCTCTCACAAACGAATTGCAAATCTGCGTCGCGTGATCGTTAGCCCGGGCTTTTGGAAGTTGCTGTAAGAGTGACCTGCGAAATTCGTTGAACCGTTCGGGAAGCCACTCTGATTGAAAGGGGTCGAATCCTTCGGTAAGCAATTGCCCGTTCTTTGTTTCCAGGACGCGTGAGTATCCCGCAGCAGCAATCAAATGCCCTGGGCCAGATGCCTGAATGACTAGATTTGGTGGGAGGGGCACACCCTCAAAACGGCATCCTTCAACTTGATTCACCCACTCCGTTCCCGTGAACACCATTCCCCAAATTGCAAGCGAGCCGTCTTCATCCATGTGCACTGCCATGAGCGCTCGATAAAACCCGGCCGCGGCGGACAGCTTGCGAAGATTGTTGGGTGTTAGTAGAGCTGGTTCTGCAAAAGGTAGAACACGAAGGCGACTCACCTCGTCGACGCTGTACGCAGTCAATTCATCTGGCTTGGCGAAAAGAACGCGACAGCGGACCGGATCGCCCTCTTCTCGTAGCAGACTTGCTTGATACAGCACATCAAGCAGCGTCGTGAGCACGGCTTCAGGCGGCAAGAGCGAAACCGAAAGTTCACGCTGAGCCCAATGATCGGCAAGAGCTTTCGCCATCCCGGTCGGGTAGGTGGAGACTGCTCGAGTGTCTTGCATCTTATATGGCCCGTGTATCACTGCCACCCGCTTGAGTTCAACGTAATTCTACCGCGGCATTTCTCGCCTCGATAGCGGGGCTCCGCGTAAAGCGTCTATATGAAAATCGAGTCCATCGTTATTGTCGTGTAACAAGTTGCGTCACTTTGGCGGAGGAACCTATAACTCAGAGCGAGCTGGATCTGTCTGTCAGAAAGCCAATCTAATGCAGAAAGATACTGTTGAGTCCGAGCAGATCGCACCCCACCTCCTTGAAGCCGCGTGTATCCAAAGTATTTACGTATTAGAGACGCGTGCGGTGGTGAAATGAGAGAATGGTTGGTGCTAGTCATGCCTCGTTTGAGGTTGCCATCCCGCTAGATTCGTGACGCTGTGTGAGCCATTCGTCAGTTTTCGCCTTCTCGATTTGATGGCAGGCTAAAATTCGCAATGCCATAGGCTCACCAGGATGCTCCTTGTCATCCACGACGCTTTCCATCCCGAGTTCCTGGTATCTGCGTCCTTCCTGTTCATTTGAAACACAGACCAGTCGGGTGAGATGTGGAAACCTGGCATTCACAATTGGTGTCAGGTCACTACTGACATCGAATCGAACGTCCGTGATTGCGATCACTCGTCGCTCGGACATCGAGATTGTTTCCGACAATCGGTAGTCGCCAAGATCGCCGAACATGACGCTGTAACCATCCACGCTGGCCGCCGTAAAGATGTCGAAGTCGCGTTCGATCGCGTCGTATTCGATGTGAAACGACTCCAGGGCATCGGCGACCGTGCGTCCGACCTTCTCCATACCGAAAATTACGACCGAGGGCAGCGTCTCCCCGGGCGTGGATTCAAGAGTTGGAATCTCGATCGCCAGCCGGCGCCGAACAATCCGGGCAATCCGACTGCCAAGTTCGGCCACCGTGGCTGTCAGGGCAAGTGAAATCACGACTCCGCTGAAAATGATGTTGACGTAGAGTTCCCCCAACTCAGACCGAACGACAGGCATGGAAACGATCACGAAGACGAATTCGCTACCCTGCGCCAGAAGAGACCCAAGCTGTAGTGAGCCAGGTAGTGACCATCCGACCAATTTTGCCGAAAGAGAAATGAGTGCCACTTTCACGGCAACAAGTGTCGCGACGAGTGCAAGGATTTGCCACCAGTACCTCAACAGCACATGCCAGTCGAGCGACATGCCGATCGATATGAAAAAGAACGCCAGCAGTAGGTTTCTAAATGGCTTAGCTTCGGTGCGTATGAGGTGAGAAAACGACGAGTCGGCCAGCATCATGCCGCCTAGAAATGCACCGAGCGTGAGTGACAAGCCGGCCCAACCGCTGGCTGCCGCCATGGCAAGCACGACTAGAAGTGCGATCGCCGTGAACACTTCCTCATTTTTGGTTCTTGCAATCAGGCTGAACATGGGTCGGATGGCGAACCGACCTGCTGCGATCGCCAATGTGAAGGCAATCGCCCCTTTGCCAATGGCCACCGTGATTTCAAAACCGAGAGATGTCTTCTGGGGCCCTTCGCCATCCATCATCGACGCGGCCAACACCAGCAGGAAGATCGCAAATACGTCTTGGAATATCAGTATTGCTGTTGCGGTTCGACCCACCGGACACGTGGTCTGGTCGCGGTCACGTAACGTAGGAACTACAACCGCGGTTGAAGATAAGGCCAATGCTCCCCCGAGCACGAGTGCGATGAGAAACGTCGTGTTCAACAGCAACGCTAGACCGGTGAAAGCGGCCGTACAAAGGATGACCTGAAGCGGCCCTAGGCCAAAAATGTCACGCCGCGTCTCCCAGATGTGCTTCAGAGAAAAGTGGAGCCCGATATCGAACAGAAGAAAGACAACCCCAAGCTCTGCGAGAAGATGGGTCGTGTGGTTCTCTTCGATCCAACCCAAAGCATGCGGGCCTATAAGCAGTCCGCCGAACAAGTAGCCGACGATTGGACTGAGTCGCAACCGCCGCATACCGACAATTGAGACTATCCCAACAACCAACAGCAGAATTGCCGGGAGAAGTTTTGTAGCACCTTCCATGTCTCAGCTATTTCAACCTCTTCCGGGAATCGCTACTTCAACTCGACCGAATATTGCCCCCGGGTTGGCGGAGTGTTCCTACGAATCTCTGCACCACAGTAGATTAACAACAAACAATCTTCGGGCAAGCAGGTGCCACGCAGCTATTTGTGGCCCGCTCCGAAGTGTCCTGAGAGACATGGGTGCTGACTCACCGGTGCGGATCTAATGGATCACTTTCTTCGGGCATGTTGCCGCTTCATGTACAGGGCCTGCACCGGCGTCAGCCTCATTCACGCCCACTTGCTTTTCTTGCTCGTTCCATGGCGGCTACCAGCCGCGTCAGTCTCTCTCGGTTTAGTCTTCCATCCTGGCGAACGCCACTACAAACGTCGATTCCGTAAGGACGGACGGCGGTGATGGCTGCTTCAACATTGTCTGGGTTGATTCCTCCCGCAAGGAAAATTGGCCTCGAGGCTCGTTCGACAATCTGACGGCTGATTTCCCAGTCGTGAGTTCGGCCGGTGCCACCCAACTCGCGAATGGTCGCCCCTGGATTACCCGAATCCAGCAGAAGGCTGTCAACATGTTCCGAGGCACGGACGGCCTTCTCAATAGATTCTTTGCCCCTGACATGTACGACCTGAACGATTTTAGCCAGCGGTACCGCCTCCCGAATCGCCCCGTAGATATCCGGATGAACCTCGTCATCGACGATCTGCACCGTGTTGACTTGTGTTTTATGAATGTGCCGTACGATCGACGAAGCCGTCGTCTCACAGGTCAACAAACATGTCGCCACCGGTGGAGGAACAGCAACGGCGATCTGTGCGATCAGCTCATCGGCGATCGTACCGGGTCCACTTGGCATGTCCGCCACCAGACCTATCGCATCGGCGCCGCAGTCAATCGCCAACCGTGCTTCTTTGAGCGACGCGATGCAACAGATCTTCAGTCTCGTGCGACAACAGGGATGCGAGCTTCTGGGCTTCATTACTCTGGGAAGATCTCAATTTGGTGCAGTGGAACTACGAACTCCCACCTCATCAATATGTTTCAGCAAGTCGGCGGGGTCTTCGTAAACGCGCAGTGCACCAGCTTGAATCAGTTCCTCGCGGCCGTATCCTCCCGAAAGCAATCCAACTGATAAGGCCCTCGCTCGACGAGCTGCCAGAATGTCCCAGATGCTGTCGCCCACAACGACAGCAGATTCGATAGGAACGCCAAGTCGCTCTGCGGCAGTCAGAAAGAGATCAGGATCGGGTTTCGCGAAATTCACCTGATCGCGAGTCACCACCGGTGTTCGCTCGAAATCGATGCCGAGGTTTTCCAGGGTTCTTCGTGCTGTTTCCATGCGGCCGCTTGTGGCAATTGTCCACGGGGTATCACTTCGGTCGAGGTACGCGAGTAGTTCACGGGCGCCAGGAAGAGGGTCGATGCCGGCCGATAATCGATTGTAAGCTGTAGCATGGGCACGACTCAGGGTGTCGAGTAACTCCGGTGTGATCTCGCACTCGGTTTCTCTAAGCAACATGTTGGTGAACAGCCCACCACTCATGCCGATTTTTCGATGAATACGCCACACCGAAAGTGGAATTCCAGATTCCTGGAGCGCCTGCTGCCATGCCAAGACATGCTGATAGACGCTATCGATGAGCGTTCCGTCGAGGTCGAATAAAAATGCGGTTTTGCGTTGATCCATTTGGCTGACTGTACTTCGTTATAAGCAGTAGTTGATGTGGCAGAGCGAGATGTTGAGGACAGCCTATAAGTCCTAGACCACAACACATCGCTCTATCTACTCGTTGAGAAGCCATTTGTACATCACAAAGGCATCTATGTAGCCGAATTCTGGGTGCTTGAAAGCCTCGGGCAATGTTCCTACGACCTTGAAACCAAGCTTTTTCCACAGTGCCACCGCGACTTCGTTCGTCGAAACGACCAGGTTGTACTGCATGGCTCGGTATCCCTGCGATACCGCCTCTTGTTGCGAATGCTCGCACATTGCCGATGCTACACCACGACCCCGAGCCTTTTCGCCAACTACATAACCGCAGTTGCAGATATGGGCGCCTAAGCTCGGCTGATTCGGTTTCAGATAGTAGGTGCCTAGAATGTGCCCTGCTTCGTCCTCCACGACATAGGTTCTCGCAGGGACTGTCACCCATGCTGTGTAAGCTTCTTCTTCCGTAATATCGGGAGAGAAAGGGTACGTCCGACCTTCGCGAAAAACCTTCTCGAGAATTTCCCAAGTTCCTGCCCAATCGGCCTCTTCGATTGCCCTAATGGTCAGCATGGTGTGATCTCCAGTGAAATGGCCTTCCCGAGGAGCCGAGCATCGCCAACCTCGCTATGTTCCAGCGAACTTTGCAGTAAGCCATTTCTGAAATCCAGGCCTCGTCTGGGCCCGTTGCCCCGTCTCTGTGGGCCGAGAGTGATCTCCCCCGACAAAATGCAATCCTTCTCCGTCTTCCGGTATCAACACTCGCCCTCCCAGGCCTGCGTCGTCAACTAGTTCCTTAAGCTCCGCACGTGTGGTCAAGCAATGGTCAAGCGAATCTAAGTGGTTGAAGATGATGTGTCCCGGAGCCAGCTTGATCAGTTCTATCAATTCCTGCTTACTGAATATCAAGTCTTTGCCAATCCCGAAGTTGGCCGAACCAGCCGGAGCGATGACAACCTGCGGCTGCAACCGCTGAATCGCTTCTTTTACTAGGGACGTTAGCACCGTGTCACCGGTGATATAGACACTCGCCTCCTTTGGGTGGGACAAGTAGAAGCCCGCTACTGGCCCCATAAGCCAACCGAGCAGGCCGTGCCCGTGCTGTCCGGGAATGACTTCAACCGTCAGTTCGCCGGAACCTGTTCCGATGACTTTGGCATCCAAGCCCTTGCGTCGTAAGTTTGGTGCATCGACACTGCTACACCAAACCTGTAGACCGCGGGCCTTAATCCAATCGATTCCGAGTTTGTCCAAGTGGTCCGGATGTTCGTGAGTGACTAGTACTTCAGTGGCGCATGCGAGCAGGTCTTCAGACCCATCTGGAAGTTCGACGAGAGGATTCTTCCTACGTTCGCCTCGGAAGAGGCGGAAGCCTCCCAAAGTCGATGGAGGGGACAGCATCGGGTCAACGAGGATCCGATGCTTGCCGATCTCCACCATGATCGTCGCGTTTCTGATTTGGGTGATGTTCATCGATCGCTCGCGAATTAAGGTTGCATCGCTGAAGCCAGATCGTTGTAGGTTGGGAAGTCGGTATAGCCGTGGGCTCCCGGTGCATACCACACCGATACATCGGCCAACTCTGCAAGTGGCCATCCGTTGACAAAGCGTTCTACAAGATCTGGATTGCTAATAAATGGACGGCCGAACGCAATTAAGTCTGCATCGCCAGTTGTGAGCGCTTCTTCAGCGGACTCTCTTGTGTACCCGACGTTACCCATCAGCCTTCCGGAGTACACCTCCCGGAAGTCGCTCAACGTCATCGCGGGGCCCAACTGATGAAAACCGAAAGCCGTACCATCCATGACGTGCAGGTATGCCAGACGGTATTGATCGAGACGGCGAGCCACATAGGTGAACTGTTCTCTAAAGTCGGGCGAGCCCATATCGTTGTGGACTCCATTCGGTGCCAGTCGTACTCCCACTCGATCGGCTGACCACACGGAAGTCACTGCATCCACAACCTCTCCCAGAAACCGATAGCGGTTCTCGATACTGCCGCCGTAACCGTCGGTTCTGTGATTCGACTTCGATTGCAGGAATTGATCGATCAGATACCCGTTGGCCGCATGGATTTCGACGCCGTCGAAGCCGGCCGATTTGGCCCGCCGGGCAGCTTTACGATAGTCCTCAACAATTCCCGGAATTTCATCCGTATCGAGCGGCCGCGGTGTTTCATGCGGTTGCTTCCCGGTCGCCGTATGCACCCCTCCACCTTGGATTGCTATAGCCGACGGAGCTACCGGGAGCTTTCCGTTGTGAAAGTCGCTGTGCGATGCACGACCGGTGTGCCACAACTGCAGGAATATGCTACTGCCGCGTTCGTGGATGGCATCGACAATCTGCTTCCAGCCCTGTTCCATTTCGTCGGTGTAAATGCCCGGGGTGTCTGGCCACCCAATGCCTTGTTCAGAGATTGTCGTGGCTTCACTTATGATGAGTCCGGCCGATGCTCGCTGGGAATAGTACTCGGCCATCATCGCGTTCGGCACTCGACTCTCACCAGCACGAGCGCGCGTGAGCGGGGCCATGACGATCCGATTCGGTAATTCAAGGCTCCCGAGTGAAATCGTTGTAAACAGTCTCGAACCAGTGGTTGAGTTATCGGACATGATCTTGGGTTCCTCTGTTGTGCTTAAACGCAACGTGCTGTGGAGTGTTTTCTAGTTGAACAACCGATTAGGAAGAAGCACGAATGGTGTTGAAGAAGTTCCAGGCATTCTCAGGCTTCAAACAAGCGTCATCGGTAGATCAAGACTGTTGTCGGCCTAATTGATCGTTGGGATGATTCCTCCGTCGCTTCTTAACGCCGCTCCGTTGGTGGCAGAAGCGAGCGGGCTCGCGACGAAGGCAACGAGATTGGCAATTTCTTCCGGTTCAATTAATCGCTGGATAAGCGAGGTTGGCCGATTCTCTACTACGAATCTTCGCTCGGCCGAGGCGAAGTCCTCATCGGGGAAAAGTTCGCCAACGAATCTCTCGACACCCGGTGTCCTGGTGGAGCCGGGTAGAACTGAGTTCACGGTTACCGCGGTCCCCTTGGTCAACTGAGCAAGACTGCGAGCGATGGACAACTGGGCCGTTTTTGTCATGGCGTAGTGGGCCATTTCAGGCGAAGGGACGACTCCAGACTCGCTGCTGACAAAGATGATGCGACCCGAGTTTCGGTCGAGCATTTTCTCAAGGTAATGTCTTGCAAGTCGGACACCGCTCATCACATTGGTGTTGAAGATCTCGAGCCATTGCTCATCTGTGGTGTCAAAAAAGTCTACGGCCTCGAAGATGCCCAGGTTATTCACAACAATGTCGACATCGGGATGCCGATCAATCGTTTGCTCGATTCCCGTGACCGTTCCGTTATCGGCTGCCAGCCCGATCAGGTCAGCATCCGGCACATTTTTTTGGATGCGGGAGATGCCATCTTCAACACTCGCCTCGCTGCGGCCATTCACAATCGTCGTAGCCCCCTCAGCGGCGAGTTGTTTGGCGATTGCCAAGCCGATACCGCCCGTCGAAGCCGTGACTAACGCGGTCTTATTTTTCAGTTGTAAGTCCATCAATTTCTGCTCCTCAATCGACTTCACCATCAGATGATGGAGTTCACCAAACTTGAGTGGTTCCGCATGTGTGGCCTTGTTGTGCAAGCAAATGCGACGGGAAGCAAAAGTCATGTAATCCAGGGTTCGTTTTCAGCGTTGAATTGCCGCTCCGAACGCTGTGCTCGCCATCCCAACACATATCCGATGCTTTCGTTGGCCGTACCCTGCCCTGGAACTGGTCGCTACATGAGCAAAAACGATGCCGAGTCGATTTCGCGGCGAATACGAGGGATCTGCTCGCGCTGCCCTCGTATTTGTGTATCGAAAAGTTGCGCTGCTCGGCCAACCACGTCACAGCGTGTCACAACCAGCACCTCGGTTGGCACTGATGAGAAAGAGGAGAGGAGTGGCAAGTGATAGGGCTCACTTCGCCTCAGCTTCAGGGAACTGAGTCGGAATGTCGTACTTGTCCAGCAGGCGGTAGAGCGTTCGCCGGCTCACACCCAGAAGGCGGGCAACTCGAGCTTTGTTTCCCATTTCTCGGGCCATTAGTTCGCCGATATGGGCTTTTTGAATTGAGTCCAGGTCATCGCCGCTGGCTTCACTCGAGACATCTAAACTTTCTGGAGATACGGAAACACAGTCTGCGACGACTTCCGGAAGGTTGCTTACGCTGATGACTTCGTCGTCTGCCAAAATCTTTGCTCGTTCGATGGCATTGATGAGCTGGCGTACGTTGCCTGGCCAACTGTAACTGTGAATAGCAGCCATCGCCTCTGGGGTAACCTGCCAATCCTGGCCAGCGAAGTGTGCCGTTAGCATCCGAATGTCATCTTGTCGCTCCCGCAGCGGAGGCAGGCGCAAGGTCATCACGTCGATTCGGTAGTACAGATCTTCTCGGAACCGACCTCTATCAACTTCTTGTCGCATATCGCGATTGGTCGCACTGATGATACGGACATTGACCTTGCGTTCTTTCGTAGAACCGACCCTGCGAAGTGACCCATCTTCTAAGACGCGTAACAGCTTTGCCTGAAGCGAGGGGGCTAGTTCTCCGATCTCGTCGATGAAAAGCGTTCCCCCATCGGCAACCTCGAATAGGCCAGGCTTGGTGCTAGTTGCACCGGTAAACGCTCCTTTTTCATGGCCGAACAACTCGCTTTCAAGCAGTTGTTCTGGTAGGGCTGCGCAGTTAATGACAATCATCGGCTTATCAGCAACTTCACTCGCCTGGTGGAGGGCGTGCGCGACCAATTCCTTACCCGTGCCGCTTTCCCCTTGGATTAAGATTGGCTTGTCGGTAGGTCCTGCTCGCTCGATTAGTCGCAATACCTCCTTCATCCCTTTCGACTCGCCAATCATTGACAGCGAGGGACGAGTCCGCTCGAGAGCGACCTTTAAGCGCTGGTTCTCTCTGCGCAGGCAACATGATTCGTAAGCCTTCTCTATAACAACTCGCAATTCCTCCAGTTCGACGGGTTTGCTCAGGTAGTCATGTGCGCCCAACTTCATCGCCTCGACGGCGGTCTTTACGCTTGCTTCCCCGGTGAGCATGACAGATTCAGTCTCACTATCCCGCTCTCGGATGCTACGAAGCAGGTCTAGCCCCGACATGCCGGGCATAGTGAGGTCAAGGACCGCCACATCGAAGCTGTATTTGTCGAACAGCTCCAAGGCAGCCTCACCAGACTCGCCTTCTTGAACCGTGTGCCCCAGCCTTCTAAGAGCGCGGGCGGTCATCGATCTAAAATCCGCATCATCATCAACCAAGATGATCGACATTTCTTGAGCGGATTTTGTCACAGACACTTGCTCCCGACCTAATGACCCTCTGGCGGCTGAAAAGGCGGCTCACGCTCACCGGAGATATTACCACCGTTTCTACTCACTCGGGATGCCTTCTCAATGGCTGCAGCCAGTACGCAACCCTCAATAGGCTTTACCAGGTAATCCACAACCATTGGGTGAATTGGCTCTTCAGGAGGGTCGTGAGACGAGACGATGATTACGGGAGTATTAGAGCAGCTTCCAAGCTCAGCAATAGCCGTATTGCCGTCGCAGAGAGGCATTCCGAGATCGGTAATTATCACGTCGGGGTTATGAAGCCGGCAGAGATCCACTAACTGCCGACCATTGCATGCCTCTCCCACGACGCAATGCCCCAGCCGAGGCAGGAATCGCCTGAAGAAGTCCCGAATATCGGGCTCGTCATCAGCAACTACAATTCGCAAAAGGTCGCTCACGAGTGGGCCCGTGGAATGGTCAAGAGGAACTCGGCTCCACCGTTGGTCGAGTTGCGCACTTCAATCGCACCACGATGAGCCTCAACTATCCTGCTTGCAATTGCCATGCCAAGACCACTGCCTTTATGTTTCGTCGTGTAAAAGGCTTCGAAGATGCGTTCTCGCTGCTGCTCGGTAAGGCCAGGACCGTTGTCGCGCAACGTAACGCACACCGCCGGTACGCCCTGAATGTCAGAGTTGGCACACGAGATGTTAATCTCAACCGGATCGCTACAGGCAGCTAACGCGTTTTCCAACAAGTTCCGGAAAACCTGTTCCAAGCGGAAAGAGTCGACCGTCACCGTGAGGTCTACGTCGTTTCGCATTTCGACCAACCGAACCTCACGCGACTTCCAAACGGGCTCGAGATGGGACCAAGCTCGATTCCAGATTCCAGCAAGGTCGGAATTGCATGTCTTCAAATTCATTGGTGCCGCAAAGCTGCGCATTTCATCGTAAAGCCGCTCAAGATCCTCTCGGGCACCAGCTATCCGTCGCAGGTCTTGGTAAGATTCAGATTCTTCCTCAAATTCGAACTTCAGCATTTCTACGCCAGACTGAATTCTCTGTAGGGCGTTTCGACTCTCGTGAGCGAGTGCTGACAGCATCTTCCCCATTGCTGCCAGGCGTTCGCTCTGCACGAGTTGTTGCTTCATGTGCTCCATCTCGGTGACGTCGGTCAAGAATCCTTCGATCGCTTCGAGTTGGTCATCACTCGAAAAGATGCCTCTTCCTTGCTCCCACACAAACCGTTCACCGCGATGGCAGTGATGAATGCGATACATAATCTGAAAGGCCTGCTTGGCCGCTAGACTTTCCTGAACCAACTCCCACACAGATTCTCGATCGTCCACATGCATCAACTCTGCCCAGGTCGGTTTACCGCTGGTTAATTCAGCCGCCGAGTAGCCACACACCCCTTTACAGCCACTGCTAATGAACTCCATCGTCCAGTGCTCATCGTTTCGGCAGCGGTATGCGGCGCCGGGCAGGTTGCTGAGTAGTGTCGAGAGTTCGCGTTCGCGCTGCTTGACCGCTTCTTCAGCTTTTTTTCTTTCGGTCACATCGTGAACGACCCAAAGCTCGCCCTGGGCATCCCCATAACCTGCGAACTCGACGGTCTTTACTTGCCCTGATTTGCAGATGACCTCAATCTCTCTCCGCACAGGGAATGCATTCCGCTTATCGTCCTCGTAGAGTTGACGCACCTCATTCTTCTTTTCGCGATACAGTAGCGAAAACCATTTGTCGAGCGTCTTCACTTCTTCCAAGGAGTAACCGAGCATTTCCTCAGTGGCCCGGTTGAAGAATATTGACTCGCCCTCGATACAGATGGCACCAGCAGGCAATTCTTCCACCATCCGTCTAAGACGATCGTGGCTCTCGCGAATGGCCCTTTCTGCATTCCGTTCTGTGGTTAAATCTCGTGTGATGCTGAGAATACCGGTGACATCTCCGTTGGAGTCGTACAACGGGAGCGCGTGCGTTTCCACGTTCCGGCGAGAGCCCTTCCGTCCGATGACGTCATACTCGGTATGGGCATAATCTCCCCCTAACACAGTTTGGTTGAGTGATTCGATGGCGGAGTGGTGTTCTGGTGCGATACAAGACAAGGCGGATTGGCCCTGAAGTTCATCGAATGACTCGACTTCAACCATGGCCAGGCCAGCTCGATTCATGAGTTGGAAGTTTCCTTCCCTGTCAAACACTTTCACGCACTCGGGCACGTTGTCGAAGATAGCGTGCAGAAGTGCGTCTCGGTCCGCATGAACCGGAAGTGATGATTTGCTTGCGATCTCAGTGCTGACCCCGAACCAATGGTCAAGCTCGCCGGTTTCGTTCAAAATTGGCACCGCTCGTTCTCGGTACCGCCGATACTCACCACAAGAAAGCCGATATCGTACTTCGACGTCGTACTTGTCGCTCTTGTCTAAACTTGAAGATAATCGTGCGGAGATGTGTTTCACATCGTCGGGATAGACAGACGCTTGCCAGTCATTTCCAGCCGACCGTTCTCGGGATTGGCCGGTGACAAGATACCAGTTGTCGGTATGAAACTGCCGTGTGCCAGAGGCGGATTGGGTCCACACGATGGTAGGCAGGGATTCAATCAGTAACTGAAAGCCTTCTGCCGAAGCAGGCAGATTGGACGATCGAGCGTTTACCAGGGGCATCGAACATAATCCCCGAATGAGGCTACTGGAATCAACTGTTCTGCTTCACAAGATACGAGTCTAGCAAAAAACGCATCCAGCTTCCCCCGGCCCAATCTGTTGATCGATGGAGGCCGAAAATGGCGAACAGCAGCGTGATAACAAGCGAGTTCACAAGAGAACAATGTCGCGACACCCTCAACAGAAAAACTCTCTCCATAGCGGTGAGTTGCTAGTCGGTCCAAGCGCCTAAAGCCCTCCTCACCGCAATCAATTGACCGATGTGATACGCGTTGTGGTCGGCTACCAGTAACGCTTCTCTTAGAAGTGTCTGACCATCGCCCCATGCGAAGGGTTCTATCAGATCTTGTTCTGGGCTCATGATTAAGGCCTGCAATTCTCCAGCGTCACTCAGAAACGAATCAATGCTGGCATCCCACGACGCCTCGTTCGGAGGCGTAACTCCTTCCGGCCAGTAACCATCCGGAAAGTCGGGAGAAACATGATCGGGATTGCGGGAGAACTCTAATATATCCGTCTGAGCAATTCGCATGTGTTCCACGATTCGCCATGGTGAATAGGGGAGATTGGCAGGCACGCTCCCACGGAAATGCGGCGGAAGATCCGCGACTGCTCGCTCAAAACCGATATGCGCTTGCCCACCCCTCAAGAGCCACAAAAGATGTTCGCGAAGTTCAACCATGGCCGCTCCTTTGCCTCGACTATGTCAAAAAAGCTCTTCACTCCCTGACACACTGCAACTGTAACTAACCATGCCACCATTGCACAAAATGAGGTCTCGGGAAACACCACACGTTTTCACCGCACCCTGCTGGTCGTGCATTGCAAACCCACCCGAGGGTGGACCAACCGCTACGCCGAACGAAGGTTGTTTTGTGCCATCGGTCGACGCAACGTCCATCACGAGAACATAGGCATCACTTAGATGGAGATGGCGGAAAGATCTCCTTTGATCAGTACAGAGGCCGGATTTGAGATTGCCGGTCAAGAGCAGGCTCCTTGATGCCATCGATGGTTCGAGATTATACGACCTTCACGCTGGCGGAGTTGACCGACGTGTACTGTCACTCGTAGTGCGTCGGCTCAGAGGGATATTATTGGACGTGGTTGGAGGCAGCCCTATGAATGATTCAAAGATCGAGGCAAAATAGCTCCAAATCACTAACCAGTCCAATTATGCTTTATCATTATCCAGCCCAACTATTTTCTATCCGTGTCGACTCAAGAGGCTATTCATGACCAATTCGACTCGTTTGAACCGACGCCATTTCTTGCGTACGACTTCTGCAGCAACTGCAGTCGGAGTGTTTGCCGGAGCATGTGGTATTTCGGTGGCCCAGGATTCACCCAATGAGCGTCCCGTATTCGCTACCATCGGACTGCGTAACCAAGGCTGGGCGATTACAAACAAGTCGACCAAGTTTGCAGACTTTGCTGCTTTCGCTGATGTTGATGCAAATGTGCTTGGAGCGGTCAATGAACAGCTGAAAAAGAAAACAGGCAAGGCGGCCGACGGTTACGGAGACTATCGACAAGTCTTGGATCGCGACGATATCGACGCGGTCATGATTGCGACACCAGATCACTGGCACACAAAGATCTCTGTCGAAGCGATGCTGGCTGGAAAGGATGTTTACTGTGAAAAGCCGCTGACGTTGACGATCGCTGAGGGCAAGCTAATTGAAAAGGTTGTTAAGCAGACGGGCCGCGTCTTCCAAGTTGGCACGATGCAGCGAACCGAGAGCGGCCGACGTTTCTTGAAGGCTATCGCACTGATCCGTGCGGGTCGGATCGGAGAGATCCGGAAGGTCACTTGTGGAATCGGTGGTGCCACGGGTTCACCGGTGATTCCGGCCATCGACGTTCCCGAGGGACTTGAATGGGACATGTGGCTTGGCCCAGCGTCCAAGACGCCTTATCGAGCTCTACCAGAGATGCGCACAGGGTATGGTGGCGGTGTTCCACTCTACACCAATTGTCACTATGCATGGCGCAACTGGTACGAATACTCCGGCGGGCAAATGAATGACTGGGGCGCTCATCACGTCGATATCGCCACGTGGGCTTTAGGAGCCGAGGATACCGGGCCAAACACAGTCACGCCTGTGAGCTATTCGCTTCCGGTCGATTACAAAGATGGCTATCCAACCGTTGACGATCGGTACAATACGCCGACAAAGTTCGAGATCCACGCGAACATGCCTGGTGATATTCCGCTCATCATCACCAGCGAAGGTGACAACGGCATCTTGTTCGAGGGTACCGAGGGGCGTTTCTTCGTGAATCGCGGGCGGTTAACCGGCGAACCGGTTGAAGATCTGGAAAACAATCCCTTACCCGAGGGTGCGTTAGAGGAGGTCTATGGTGGGCCGGTGAGTGAGAATCACACGGCCAACCTGATCGCTGCGATGCAATCGCGAGAGCAACCGATCTCCGATGTTTGGTCGCATAACCGCATGCTCGAGACATGCCACTTGGCGAATATTGCCATCCGACTAGGACGTGAGCTGAACTGGGATCCGGCTAAAAGAGTAATCGTAGGCGATGACGAAGCCAACGCGTTCCTCTCACGCGAAAGCCGCAAAGGCTTCGAGATCGAAATGTAGAGCGGGTCACCGCCCGAGGCTTAGCCTGTGCTAGAGTCCGCACTTCGCCAGAGTATGGTCCGAGATTGGGAGGAAACCGTGCTGAAGCGATCGAGCTAGCTCCCCGGGAACGATGCAATCTCCTTCACCAGGCACATAGGGGAACAGCTTTCGATGTGCCGCAACCCTGAGCGTTTATCGGGCCCCGTCTCGCTATAGATTGGCCCGTTGCATAGCCAAAGTGATTGTTGGTCTGGCCTGTTATGGCGACCAGATAGGATTCTGACAAACTAACACGACTGAGTTAGCGAGTTAGCACTGCTTGCGAAGCACCGTCAACCGTCGGTGACACCGGTGGTTCAACATCGAAGAGAAGTAGTTGACCGCCGGCAATGGCCCTCAAGAGCCGGTGCCCAATTGGCTGGAATTGTACCCCCGTCGTGCCACCAGGCACTGTCAGCATTTCTTGCCCGGTTGCGATACTCCACAGCTTCGTTTCTTCTTCATCGCCTGAAATGAGTGTGCGGCCGTCTGGGGAAATATCACAGTTGAGGATGCGATTCCTGTGTCCTTCAAACGTACGGAGCAGTCGCCCGGTGGCCACATCCCACAGTCGCAGGTCTCGGGCACCAGCACTCACCAGACGTGTCCCATCGGGAGAGAATGCTAGGTAAGTGATGGTGCGTTGTGCTTCCCATCGACGCTGCTGACGTTGAAGCGAGTCGTAAAGGACGATGCTTCCTTCATGCCACGAGGCAAAGCTGCGACCTTGCGGCGATGCCACGCAGCCGATGGCGTCAACTTCAGCAACTCGTGCAATTTCTTCACCCGTTGTCGAATCAATGACCACGAGCGTATGGTCCGCGCGATCGATGTAGGCCAGATGATCACCATCAGCCGAAAATACACAGCGGACAGGTTGGTTAACCGAGAAACGGGTCACGGTTTCCAACGAATCCGCATCAAGGATCCAGATTGCGTTTTGATTCTGTGATGTAACTGCAACCTGTTTAATATCGGGCCGGCATGCAAGCCCGTTGGGTTCCCCATCAAGTTCTCGCTGAACCTTGACCTTGCCCGTGTTCATCTCCAGCCGCGAGATTTCGAAACGGGAGTCGCTTCGCGTTACGACCACATCGCCTCCAGGGAGGCAGTCAAGATACAATGCACCTCGCAAGGGAAATTGCCATCGCGCGACGGTCGCGAACGAGGCGGAGTATACTTTGACCAAACCATCGGCACCGCAAGAAACAAAGCGATCGCCTTCTGGGTGGAAGGTCAACGACCAAACACGAGTCGCGTGCGCTTTGAATGACCGCAAGTCATGAACGTTTTCGCCTGCGACACGGAGTCTCGTCAGATTGCCGACATCATCGGCCACAACGATCAGTCCGTCATGGTTGACGGCGACGGCGCGAGGCTCATCGCGAAACAACTTGTGAAACTCAATGACCTTGTCTGAGTCGATGAGGTATTTGTACAGGGAGCCCACGGCATTGACCGAGACAATCCCCTCAGGCGTGTAAGCGAGGCCTCTTAGTTCGGGGTGAAGATCTGCATAGTTCAACTGCCGTCGAGCCACCTCAGGTGCGGCTGAATCTTCGGTTGGGTTGAGCAAGACCAACCAGGCATCGGTGCCGACCGAAGCGATCATGTTACTCTCTGGTAAATGCGCGAGGGCATCGCAAATATGATCTGGATGATTCTCCCAATCTCGAACTAACTCTCCCGAAGCAATATCCCACATCCGCACGTGCGGATCTTCGCCGCAGCTAACGACATGTTCTCCGTCGTTGGTGAAAAGTACGTCGTAACCCATTCCTTCGTGAGCGTCTTTGATCGTCTGCAGTAATGAATGGGTTTCGACGTCCCAGATGCGGATTGCACGATCATCGCCGGTTGTGGCTAGGCGTCGACCCGCATGATCGAACGAAGCGCAGTTGCATTCACCGTGACCGGTGTCGATCTCGATCACAGGTTGCTTGGGGGCATTCGGGTCCCAAAGTCGAACGAGGCCGTCGGCACAAGCAGTCGCAAGCCGCTGGCCATTGGGAGAGTATTCTGCACTATAGACTCCACCGGGGTGCTTGAACTCCGTAAGCGGTTGCTGTGATATGTGCCTCGACAGATAGTGCCACACGAAGTCACGCAAGTCGTGCTCGCCCGATTGAGGGACGTGTCGTGCTAGAAAGGTGCGAACTTGGCGAACGTCGTTCTCCGCGAGCGCTTGACCCGCAAGTTTCATGTCCGCGGCGTACAGGCGTCGCTGAAGTTGAAGTCCGCTTTCTTCCGCCCGCAGCCGCGCTTGGTCGGCCGTTTCCAGGGCTAAACTCAACTCGGTATTGAACTGCTTTTGCTTGATGCTGTACGTCGTCAAACCTGCGGCGGCGGTTAGAATGGCCAAAACAATGAAGGCCATAAACCCCGCCAGTGTCTGATTTCGCCGAGTCCACTTCCATGCTCGGACTGGCAGGCTCGTCGGTCGGGCATGCGTTGGCTCTCCAGCCAAAAATCGACGTAGATCGGCCGCCAGTTCCGAGGCGGAAGAATATCGCTTGGCAGGGTTTTTCTCCAGACACTTTAGGCAGATGGCCTCTAGATCTCGAGAGATCGACTTCCGCGTGACACTTAGACGAGTCGGATCCCTCTCGACGATGCGACGCAAGGTTTCAACGTCGCTGCCACCGAGGAACGGAGGTCGACGTGTGAGCAGTTCATACAGAGTCACACCAAGCGCATAGACGTCGGAGTGCGTACCAATCTCGCGAGTTCGCCCATTGGCTTGTTCTGGCGACATGTAGGCCGGCGTACCAAGAAAGGCTCCCGTCCGTGTGGCTTGCTCACCCGCATCTTGTTCTTCCATAAGCTTCGCCAATCCAAAATCGGCTAGCTTCGCCCGAAAAGGGAATTCGCTATTGGCCGATTCGTCTGGCGCAAGCAACACATTTCCAGGTTTCAAGTCGCGATGCAGAATGTTGTGGCGATGAGCATGGTCCACCGCGTCGGCCAGATCGGCTACCACCGTGGCGGCGAGTACTTGGGGAACATCGTGCCTCAACCCGGCCAGCCAGGTCGAGAGAGTGGGGCCGGAGCAGTATTCTGAGGCGATGTAACACACCCCGCCTACTTCTCCGGCCTCAAACACAGCGATAATCCCGGGATGGCTTAGCACGGCGGCCGTTCGTCCCTCCTTCACAAACCGCGCTTTCATTTCGGGGCTGAAAAGAACATCGGGCCGCGGGACCTTAAGTGCAACCCTACGGCCAAGTTGCGGATCGTAAGCCAGGAATACGACGCCGCACCCGCCGCGCCCCAATTCGCTCTCGATACGAAAACGCCCCAGTGTCTGAGAATCGGCCATCTCGGCCGGAGCCAGTGCGTGCTGGTTTGAGTCGGATACCGAAGCCTGGAAGCGGCGTAGCAATTCTAAATCTTCCAGGCATTCAAGCTCCAGCCGCAGATCATCGGAGGTGTCATCCGTCACCGAATCGGGAGGGTGAGTGGAGTGCCCGTTGGCCAGGGCTTGATGCGCCGAGATAAGAGCCTCGGCGTATGCGTCAGGTTCATCAGGGCCGGGTTGAACTACCATGGCGCGGTCCGATTTCTAGTGCTAGACGCTTAACGGCTCTCGCCCAGAGCTTCTTAACAGCGTTCGTCGAGCGGTTCATGCGAAGACCGATTTCTTCGAAGTCCAGCAGTTCAAAATTACGTAGCTGAACAACCAGGCGGTAGTCTTCATCCAGCCTTGCGATAGCTCCTTGAACCAAGTTTGCTCGCTCTTGCGTGAGTGCTCTTGTGGCTGGGGTATCGTGACGATCTGCCAGCAATTCCTCCGTATGGATTGCCGAATTATCGCCGTCGAGGGCCACCTCTCGGCTGGCGCACCTCTTTTGTGACACCGAATAGTGCCGAGTCACGTCGACGACATTATTCAAGAGCATCCGACGAAGCCAACCACGGAGTTGTGCTTCTCGATCGCCTTGAAACTGCGAGAAGTGCCGACGAGCTTCCAGGAAGGTTTGCTGTACCACATCCGAAGCTGCAACCTTCGGCCGGACTTCTGCAGGTAGTTCCTCGCTGGCCACTAAAGTCAAGTAGGCCCGGTAGTGCTCAAATATGAGGCCTAACGCCGTTTCGTTTCCAGCACGAGCGTCGGTCAGAGAGTTGGCGACCCATTCGTTGCCTTCACGGTCGACGTGAGGAGTCATATGCCCCCTCCATCCTCTTAGGCGAAATATTAATGAAGAAGTGCCTCACGGCTGCCGTCGATTTTAGCTCCGCATCAACCCGCTATCAATTTGATGCTTCAGTCGCTCCAACCGCCCCTTCGGTGGTCGGCCCTCAAGTGTCTCCTAAGTTTTCGCGGCACTTATGGCTCACATTCTTCGCCCTGTGATTAGAGAGGTAGGTTTTTGGCCGCATTCGACGTGGTTTGACGGTCTTCCGTGCAAGGCTTCGTCCTCAGGACAAGCTGCTTCTCTGCACGATGGCTGTACCGGACCTTGAAGAACACTGGATTGGTCAGATACAGCTCGCCTATCGGATTTCACCAACTAACGCCACAGGGGCAGGCTGCTGGAAATGCACGTCGACGGACTGACTGCTGCAGCAGGTCTTACAGGCTGGGGTTCTGAACCGCCCGTTTGTTCAGGGCCCCGGCCTGTCTGTGGGCGTTTCCGCACGCCCCAGATACCACTGACCCATTTTCGGATTGACGCTATGCTTCCTGTCCTGATCGTGCCTCTGATTGAAGCGACAGAGTACTTTATCGGGATCCAGCCCCTGACCGGAGGTCAGGCCTATACCACGGGAGACCTGACCCAGGGCAGCGGACTCATCACGATCAGTCACTCATCGAGCGTGATAACGGTTGATGGAAACCACACCCATAGCGATCATGCGCCCGACATCAAACTTGATGGAATCGACGTTGATGCTCCCAATTAATGCTTAACTCTTGGCATCTCTTCGACGCCGGGCCCTCGCACCCCCACAGCAGGGCCCGGCTCTCTTTATTACTGCTTAGGCTAATTCCCTACCTTAATCGCAAACGGTTGGTGGAATGTATAAACGGTGTATTGCTCCTTCGGAACGCTCCCGAAGACATAAGGCAAGGGCCCGAACTCGCTGGCGTAGAAGCCTGCTCCTAGGGGTGCGGATATTGTGGTGAGACCACTTGGGCCGTCGTATTCGAGCACTTCACGGCTTGCCCGATCTGGATTCTGATTAAGTGGTAAAAGGTTGAATAGGTTTGTGTTGTTGCTGGGCAAGATGAGCCTGGCCCCTGCCGGATAGTTGATGCTAAGCACTTCAAACGGATGGCCGCCGGAGTCTTGCAGGTAATACTGAAGGCCCCAGTGTCCTTGGAACCACAGCTCTTCTCCGGTAGCGATGAATTGTTCGGTCATCTCGTTGGCCGCCTGCCGCATCGAAGCGGCCAAGCGATAATCGGCGCTGGCCACCGTTAGCGATATCAACAGACATACCGCCGTGAGTCCTACGAGAACGTATCGATACGTCCGATCCGTAATTCTCAATAGGCCCGCAGCGTTGTCCGCCAGCGATTGCGGGAGATTTCGGCCCAGCAGAATCGCTACGGCCGGTACCGCGGGCACCAGCGAACGCGTGTTGGTCGTCCAGTTGAGTATGCCTGCGAAAGCGAGTGTGCCGAACACCCACAGCGCCAACAACGCACTGGTGGCATCTTTGCGTCGCACGAGATCCAGCACCGGCAAGGCAGACAACGCCACTCCGGCGGCCACCATCAAGATGGCCTGGAGTAGGAACTCTATCCCGGGCTCTTCAACCACCGCCCCCGCCCAAAACGTGGCACCGTCGAACAGGTAGAACATCAGCCCAAGTACGGTCAGCGTCACCGTGGCTACTCCCAGGGCAAACGGCCGCCATATCAACGGGGCGAATACGAGTGCGATCGGAATCGATCCCCCGGCGAAACCTAAAGTGACCAACATTTGTCGCAGCGGGTCTCGTCCTCCGGCTTCTGTGGGCTGTTCGGCGCTGGATGCGTACAGCAACGCCTGTCCAACCAGGCCGCGACCGTATAGTTTCGAAGTCCAAGTATCAAAGGCAGCTAACACGAGAACCCCTACAAATAGCCCGCCCCCGCAATGTGCGATTAGTTTGGAGGAGTAGTTTAATTTTGCCTTGCCGCGTTCATCCTTCATCAGCCACTGGGCCGCCGAGTAGGCCGCTAACAATGGGAACAGGCATACCCCGTAGTATTTTGTGATACCCGCCAAACCAACCAGTAAGCCTGCGAGGTAAAACCAGTAAGGCCGATAAGTATCGTGCCCATAGATCCACATCAGCACCGCGGACACCCAGAGTGCGACCAGTGCCGTGTCGCACATCAAGGACGTGCTACTAACTAACAATGCCGGGGTGCCCCAAGCCAGACAAGCCGAAAGCAGCGGTCTAGCTCCAAGCCGGGCTGCCAAAAGATAGGTCGTCGCCGCGGCCGCCGCCCCCGCCACCAGCGTTGCCATGTGTAGTGACACTTCGTTGAACCCGAACGAAATGCCAAATAGGGCTAGCACGTAACTCCACAGGGGAGGATTTTGCGTCACCTTGTGCATGGGTGCCGAATAGCCGTACCAATTCACATCGAAGCCGTAAAAGTCGGCCGGGGCCTCAGCAATCTGCTTGGCTGACCACACAAATAGTGGGTCGTCCACATGCACCGGTTTGCCCAACATCGGTACCAGCGTAACAACGACCAGCAGACACACGATCCCCAGATCGCGAGGCTTTACCGGCTGCGGCGTAGACAAGCTCGGCACAACTTCAATGTCATCGGTTTTGGGCGCTGATCGCTTGCGACGTGCCAACAACTTCTCCTAAGTAAAAAACAAAATTGGGAGGTGTCTCAACACTGTGAGACAAGGTAGACAGATACCAAGCCAACGTCACGATTATCGCACGTATTGATGATGTGGGACAGTAGCGGGTGTGGACTTGGGCATCTTGAATGCGGAACGGAAACCCGGCGATTTGGATTGTTGTATCGAGGGGAGTAATTGACTGCTCTGCCCGTCCCTCGTAGTGAGCGCCCCAGGCCAGAGGCGCTCAAACTACGACAGCCACGAGTGCGAGAACCACTTAATTGATATCGGAGAATCGTGTTGAGGGCCGAATCATCTCGGCGAGTTTCGCGGTTCCGGTCAGCATCGAGCGGACACTGAACTAATGTCCTCGCACGAGCTCACGCCTCTTGGGACCTCTTTGTATGGAGAACTACTCCTGACGCGATTCGGGCATATCGCGCAACCGTCCCATCGAGTGACTACTTTATCGCCGGCCTAAGTCGCCATCTCCAATTATGCAGCGCATTTTCTCCCCGCTTGAGGTTGGTCCGGGAGCAGCTCAAGCAACTTTTTCGCGAGCATAATTGCAAGTCGGCCAGATATTGGAAGGGATCGATTCCGTGCCGATTGCGGCTGGCCGTGATGTTGAACAGCACCGCCGCTGTGCAGCCACCATTGTCGCTGCCGACAAATAGCCTGAAAGTTGGCTTCTACCACCGTGAATAAGCGGCTGCAGGTCGCTCTATCCTTCTTTAAGGCCATGCTTCGAAAGTAACTTCTCGGCGAGAAGCCGTTCGAGGGAGTGAGTTCGTCTGCGACTGGGGCCAAGGACCGGCTGCAATTTCTTACTCCGGAGCGGATCTCCCATGTCATGACAGCGGAGTCGGAGCGGATCCTGGTCTACTCCCTAAAGACGGCGCACCTTCCGGACAGAAACTCGCGGACGATTCCACTCTTTGGCGAGTTACGGCTCTTAGTGGAAAATGCCTTTGAACTGGCTGATGAGGGTGCAGAAATTGCTCATCGAACGCTTTCCCGTGCAAGTCGTCATGAGTTGGCTGGGCAATACTCCCGAAATCGCCACGAGCAACTACTAGATGACTACAGACGAGCACTTTGCAGCGGCCACGGCCCTGCCGGAATAAACAACGCAGAATACAGTGCTGCACATGCACGCCGGTGGTGGAAACGAGCGGAAAGCTGAAACGAGCGCAAGAAAAAAGCCCGGGAGTACCGGGCTATTCAGGTAGTTGCCACTCTGGGCAACTACCGCAAGTGGCGGGGACAACACTCCGGTCGAACACTCTCGGATATGTCGGTAATTGCCGCCGCTTCATTACCCTAAGTGCCTTCACCGCGAAAAACCCGGCGTGGGCTATCTAGCACCATCTTGCGCGCACCGGCCTTAGGTCAACCAGTCCATCTGGCCTTCCGGGGCGTAGCGGAAGGTCAGGCCGGACGTGATCGACGCCGTCAAGTGCCGGCCAAGTGATTCGTGTTCCTTGCCGATCCGCTGGATATCGCGGGAAACGGCCATCGATACCGACTTGCGAACTTTTTCAATGTCAGTCTGTTGGCGCGACCGGCCCCCGATGCCGGTGGCGCTGGCCAACTCACGCGTCAATTGCTCCATTTCGCCTTCCAGCTTCTCGATCTTGCCAAGGTCTTTATTCTTTCTCGACTTGCGCAATTCTTCCTGCAGCTCGCTGTAGCGGCGGCCGTATTCGTCGCGGGCCTGTTTGTCGAGCATTTCGCCTGACGAACCGCTCGTGGTCAGCGGGTCAATTCCAGCCTTGGACGCCAGCAAGGTTACTGCGGGGATATCGCGATCGGGTTCCATGAGCAGACGAGCGATGTACCCCAAACCGACCGAGTCCTTCAGGAGCTTGCTTTCTCCGGCAAACGACAGTTGCCAAAAATCGCCTCGTTGTTGAAACACGTTGCCGGCGACGATGGACTGCGCGGAAACAACGGACCGAACGCGATCCGGTTGGAATTCAACTCCGTCGTCGACAACGACGAACGCCGATTCCAGCGACAGGGACGCCGCGAAGCCGCAAACGCCGACCGGCGCAACATCGATTCCGACGACGATCGTGCGGGCCGGTCGGATGTTACGCCCAAGGTTGGCGAACAGCAGCGGGCAGCAAATGTTGCAGGGGGCTGGTAATCCAACGAACTGTGTGGTCGATGGTGGTTGTAATCGAGCCGCCAGCGGTCGACAACCCAGCGGGCATCTTCAAGGCTAACGAATAGCTCGCGGTCCAACAGCTCATCCCTAAACCGACTGTTGAAGCTCTCCACGTAGCCGTTCTCCCAGGGACTGCCTTTAGCAATAAACAATGTCTTCACGTGGGCTTGATGCAGCCAACGTGTCACGGCTCGGGCTACGAACTCCGGGCCGTTGTCGCTTCTCAAGTTCTCGGGAGCACCACGCACGGCGAACAGGTACTGAAGCACCTCAATCACCTGCTGCGACTTAAGAGACCAAGCTACTTCGATCGCCAGGCTCTCGCGGGTGAATTCATCGATCACCACCAGCATCCGTAGCTTGCGGTTCTTCTCGGTACGGTCTTCGACAAAGTCGTAGCTCCATACATGATTGGGTCTCAGTGGACGCTTTCGCACGCAGCTGTTCTCACTGCCACCACACGCGAGTCGACGCCGTTTATGCTGTTTTCTGGGCACCTGCATGCCTTTCTCCCGCCAAAGACGCTCTACACGCTTGTGGTTGATCTTCCAGCCACGCTTGGTCAGCGCATCGTGAATTCGCGGACTGCCGAAACGGGGACGCCGGGTCGCGATCCTCCGCATCTCGGCCAACAGCTTCGCTTCATCAGACGGACGACGCCTCACGTGTCGCTGAGTCGATCGCGATTGGCCCAATACCCGGCAAGCCCGGCGTTCCGAGACCTTCTCGGGCCCCAAACGACGACTTACCTTGATGACGGTTTGCCTCCGCCGCTCGGGGCTCGCCAGTTTCCCTTGGAGGCTTACTTGAGAATCTCCATGTCCAGAGCCTGCTCAGCCACCAGCTTCTTCAGCCGGGCGTTTTCTTTCTCAAGAGCCCGTAGTTGCTTGACCATCTCCGGAGCCATTCCACCGTATTTCTGCCGCCAGCGGTAATAGGTCTGCTCGGTAATCCCAAGCGTCTTGCAGATCTCCGGGACCTTCTGGCCCTTACCAAGGGAAACGTCTGCTAGACGCAACTTCTCAATGATCTGCTCAGTCGTATGCCTTGTTCGCTTCATCTGAAAGAATCCTCCCCGGGCTTCGCCCAGTCTACGATTCTCTCAGTTCAAATGGTACGACTCAAAGGGGGAAGGCCAGCCTGCTGGTGTAGCGAATTCGTAGAACCAGAATAAGCCGGTGAAGTGCGATTCCCCACGACTTGCGGACGATGGTGGGATCCCGAAAGCATCAATACGCGTAGCAATATCGAGCAATTCTGCGGTTGGAAAATCGACACTAGGGAACGCATTGCTGATCAAAGTATTGTTGCTGGATTCGCCATGCTCCGCGGAGTGTAGTGTGGTCGCGATTCACTCTTTCGTGAATGGTTTTGAATGCGTCTCGGAATGATGGCGTCAAACATGACAACACACTGTCAACGTAGCTGCCAGCAAATGCGTGATCATAGGAATCCAAATGTTCCACACTGAACGATTGCATCTCATTTGGGAACGCACTAAAGAGCGAAGCTGATACATCGAAAAACTCCCAAGCGTCCTTGCCCGGGAACATCATAGAACGGAAGGGATCGAATCGGAAAAAGCGAGACCTACATTCAGATACTGCATGTCGAAATCGCTGTACATCAGGAACCCAAAGAAGAGAAGTGTGCAGTCGGGGATGTGTTATGCATCGCGTGAATTGGCAATGGTGCTTGGGAATGAATCTACCCGCAGCAAGACCGTTGAACTGCCATGATTCGACGCAGTTCCAAAAGCATACGTCAGGGTCGACAAAAACAGCTGCCCCTTCCTTTTGTCTTTGCACGACACCTCTCATGAAGTCGTAGTTTTCGATGAAACGATTCAGTGGAGTTAGCTTGGCACCACAGGAATCCGCGGCAGTCTTGATGTGTGGTAATGCGTCCGGTGCGCTCCCAGCATCTACAACCATCACGTTAGCTGTGGGAAAACCGACCCGAAGAGTTTTGAATACCAGGAGAATACCCGGCAAATATCGGATGTCCCGGCACCATGTGTGAATGTATACGTGAAGCGACATACAGCGGGGTCACCAGCTCCCAAATTGCATACCCTAATGACCAAGGCTTAAATGAGAAGGCAGTCGAACGGAGGGCATCATACTTAAAGACCGACAAACTGTCGATCGCCGCTTGCCCTCTCTATCTCACCTGAAAGAGCAAGAGGCTTTGAGAATGCAAGGACTCCATCCCAAGAACTGTGCTAGTCAGCGAGTTGAAGTTGCACAGTCGCCATAGGGAACCAGAAGTGCTGCGCGCTAGAACCTTTGGGAAGCGGGAGGATAAGTGCAGCTATTCTCGTCTCCGATGAAATCTAAAATAACATTTGACAACTGCACATTATGCACGGTCACGGTTCCTGGGCTCCATGCTTCAAGCTAATATGTGCTCATTCGAAGGAAGCTGTGCGTTACTGCTCGTCCTTAACGATCTGCGGATGTGTGAGATTGATGGTTTTTGTTTGACACTTCCCACGCGGCTTTCTAACCTACCGCTGCCCTCGACTTCTCGACGGTGCCTCTGATACGTCACAAAATTTTACTCCTTGAGGGGCGGACATGCGATTTCTGCGGTCCTACAGGAAGATCAGCTGTCCTATTCGCAAGCACAAATCTCGCAAGTCACTTCTTGAGCCATTAGAGCAGCGACAATTACTTGCGGTTATCGCAAATGCGGGTGGGCCATATTCTGGCAACGAAGGAACCGCGATCCAGCTATCTGCAGCCGGAAGTAGCGGAGACATCACCGAATATGCCTGGGATTTGAATGATGATGGAGTTTACGACGATGGAAGTGGAGTAACAGTCAACTTTAACCCGGGCGACAATGGTAGTTTCGATGTTGGATTACAAGTAACAGGTCCTTCGGGCACTGACACGGACGAGGTGACGGTGTCCATCGTCAATGTTGCACCCACACTAAGCGTGGTTGCTTCCAGCACGGACGTTGTGCGCGGCGAGAATGTAAAGTTTATCTTGACTACAGTCGACCAATCTTCCGCGGATGCTGCTGCCGGTTTTCTCTATGAGTTTGACTGGGGTGACGGTTCAGGTTACAGCGACTCGCAAACCGGGAACTCAGGAGCTGAAAGGAATTACCGCTTTTGGGACCTCGGCTCAGTCGATGTACGGATACGTGCGACAGACAAGGATTCTGGAGTCAGCAATGAGGTGACTATCCCTGTCACCGTGCATGAGAAACTCATAAGAAATGTGGATGGGGATAACGTCGCCTTCTGGGGAGGTACATCGGGGAACGACGATGTCCGATTTGTCGAGGACAACGGTCAGCTCATTGCACAGCGTCTTGTCGTGAACGGTGAAACTATCACGATGAATCAGGAACTCGTTCTCGCTGAAGCAACAGATAACGTAGTTTCCATTTCTGCAAGCACGTACGGCGGGGATGATTATCTTGCCCATAAAAGTGGCATAGCTGCATATAAGTTTTATGGCGGCGGCGGCGATGACACGCTTCTGGGAGGCCATCAAGCTGATTCTTTGCACGCTGGCGATGGAAATGACTACCTCGTAGGAGGGCCAGACGAAATTGATCTCGGGGATGTTCTGGACGGTGGAGAGGGTTCGGGCTCAGATACCATCGTGGGTGGCTTTGGTGATGATACGATGTATGGTGGGGAAGATGACGACCTGTTTCTCGTAACAGACAATGGCGACAACCTCAATGTTGACGGTGCCGAAGGGAATGACAGACTTGAATTGACAACAGGGGATGCGGCGGACTCGATCAGTATTACGCAGATAGACGATGGCCACCTAAACCGACTTATTCAGGTAAATAGCAATCAAGTCAGGATTGGGAGATTCGAGGAGCTTGAGCTCAATACCAGTGGTGAGAATGACCAGATAGTCATTCACGACGACGCGCTCTTGCCGACGCTCGAGTTTGATGGGGGCTCCGGCACCGATTCAATCTGGATGGCTCTCAATTCTGGAGACACGGCAGCGCAGCAAGTTGATGTGCTCGAGCAGAGTTTTTCGATTGTTAACACAGTCGATACCGAGATTTCAACCACGAGTGCAAGTTATCAGGGCTTTGAGTTACTCGAGATAGACGGTAGCTCTTTCAATGACACACTGAGAATCATCGGGGAAACAGGTGGTGCATTCGTCGGCCTCACCAGTGTCATTATTCGTGGTAATGATGGTAATGATACCCTCAAAGCCCATCATCAATACCTTCCTGCATCCGTACAGCTAATCGGCGGTGCCGGCAACGACATCTTCTCGACCAACGGTGGGGCGACGACGGTGACTGGAGGTAGTGATAACGACACCTGGACGCTGTTCCTGGATGCGTTGTCGGCGGCACAGACGGTGAGGGTTTTTGATGACCGTGTCGCGGTAAATAGTCTGAATACGACCTCCCCATACACGGGAGTGGATTCGATCACCGTACTTGGTGGATCTGCCGACGATGAGATGCACATCGAGGATGACTCGGTTGGCGGCTGGATCGGCGCGAGCAGCGTTCTGCTCCGCGGTCAGGGCGGTAATGATACGTTGAAATCTCACGGTCAGTCCCTCCCGGTGTCTCTCGAACTGAGAGGAGATGGAGGCAACGACATCTTCTCGACCAACGGTGGGGCGACGACGGTGACTGGAGGCAGTGATAACGACACCTGGACGCTGTTCCTGGATGCGCCATCCTCTGTAAACGTTTTTGATAACCGTGTTGCGCTCGACAATCTAGCCGTGATTTCCCCATACACGGGAGTGGATTCGATCACCGTACTTGGTGGATCTGCCGACGATGAGATGCACATCGAGGATGACTCGGTTGGCGGCTGGATCGGCGCGAGCAGCGTTCTGCTCCGCGGTCAGGGCGGTAATGATACGTTGAAATCTCACGGTCAGTCCCTCCCGGCGTCTCTCGAACTGAGAGGAGATGGAGGCAACGACATCTTCTCGACCAACGGTGGGGCGACGATGGTGACCGGAGGTAGTGATAACGACACCTGGACGCTGTTCCTGGATGCGTTGTCGGCGGCACAGACGGTGAGGGTTTTTGATGACCGTGTCGCGGTAAATAGTCTGAATACGACCTCCCCATACACGGGAGTGGATTCGATCACCGTACTTGGTGGATCTGCCGACGATGAGATGCACATCGAGGATGACTCGGTTGGCGGCTGGATCGGCGCGAGCAGCGTTCTGCTCCGCGGTCAGGGCGGTAATGATACGTTGAAATCTCACGGTCAGTCCCTCCCGGCGTCTCTCGAACTGAGAGGAGATGGAGGCAACGACATCTTCTCGACCAACGGTGGGGCGACGATGGTGACTGGAGGTAGTGATAACGACACCTGGACGCTGTTCCTGGATGCGCCATCCTCTGTAAACGTTTTTGATAACCGTGTTGCGCTCGACAATCTAGCCGTGATTTCCCCATACACGGGAGTGGATTCGATCACCGTACTTGGTGGATCTGCCGACGATGAGATGCACATCGAGGATGACTCGGTTGGCGGCTGGATCGGCGCGAGCAGCGTTCTGCTCCGCGGTCAGGGCGGTAATGATACGTTGAAATCTCACGGTCAGTCCCTCCCGGCGTCTCTCGAACTGAGAGGAGATGGAGGCAACGACATCTTCTCGACCAACGGTGGGGCGACGATGGTGACCGGAGGTAGTGATAACGACACCTGGACGCTGTTCCTGGATGCGTTGTCGGCGGCACAGACGGTGAGGGTTTTTGATGACCGTGTCGCGGTAAATAGTCTGAATACGACCTCCCTATACACGGGAGTGGATTCGATCACCGTACTTGGTGGATCTGCCGACGATGAGATGCACATCGAGGATGACTCGGTTGGCGGCTGGATCGGCGCGAGCAGCGTTCTGCTCCGCGGTCAGGGCGGTAATGATACGTTGAAATCTCACGGTCAGTCCCTCCCGGTGTCTCTCGAACTGAGAGGAGATGGAGGCAACGACATCTTCTCGACCAACGGTGGGGCGACGATGGTGACTGGAGGTAGTGATAACGACACCTGGACGCTGTTCCTGGATGCGCCATCCTCTGTAA